ATGAAAATGATATAATAAAGTGTCCAGCGTAGCGGTAAATATTCCTGGAAAAATAGCCGCGGGATAACACTCACCCGCCCCCGCTGTAACGATGCACGAGTTGTTATTTGCGATTTCTACCGAGGAGGTTCAGCGCGTTTTTTGCGCAGCAGTCGTCGACGCGATATCTCATGTTTATTAGCATCTGCGGCGAAAAGTACCGTACGAATGTTACTCGATATTTTCTCGTCGACAGTACGAATTATCGTCCGCACCGGATTTCTTCGTTGCGGCGATTTAATTGTCATTCGTAAAAACATTTCGCCGTAATCTTATTTTCATCGTTGCTCACGATACTATGAAATCTCTCTCTCTCTCTCTCTCTCTCTCTCTCTCTCTCGCTCTTTCTCTCTCGCTCGCTCGCTCTCGCTTACGAGCACGCGAGAATGTCTGAGTATAACGCGACTGGCGTCGATTACGCCTGCGATCGAGGCCATATTGACCGTAGCCTTACACGCGGTGCTGTTTATATGCTAACAATAAGTAGGCGATCGTCGAAACCAATACGGAATCCTACGTCATCGCGCAAGTGGGCAAACAAAAAGCGGGTAATACGGTGGAGCGTCTGCTATTAAAGTAGGCATAATGGTAACTGCTGTTGCCGCCTTGTTGTAAGAAGGTTGTTAATACCGGTGAGTTATCTCTTTCTCTCTCTCTCTCTCTCTCTCTCTCTCGCTCGCTCGCTCACTATCTCCGTCCCGCCCTCACTCGTCGTTACAACGTGGCCGGCTGGCCTTAATGTAATTGTGTTCGGCGGTTCAAGCGATATACAGCATAAAATCCTGCGCCATCGTTGTGTGTCCACGTAGCCGCGTGACGTAAGCACGACTCGGCTGGCGTGTAAGCTTTATTAACTCGCCTCAAGTACTGCTCGACACTTAAAATCAATTAGTGGTACGCGTCAATTAGAAAGTCGGTCGCTTCAGCCGACTCCGTTGCTCTTAGTGCGACGGCCGCAGTCGCTCGCACGCGGTACAATTGTCGACGAAGACGACCGAAGAGATCCGGCGTGTTGAACGTCGTGATTTCCAAACGATTGGTGTGCGCGTATCGTATCTGCGCGCGTTTGCGTGCGAATCACGAAATTGATCTGAACGTTCAAAGGATTCCTAGTCTCAAGGAGATGTGTGTAAATTCGAGGATTCAACGGAAGGATCTCTCGTTTTTAACGTCATGATTTAATATTGCGACTTAACACTTCATTACTCGGTTGAAATTTTATTTTCTAATTAATAAAGGCTAACAAGTGACTTTGAAACTTTCTGATTTTTCATTTCCAGCCTTTTGAATTATATTTGTATGGTCGCATTTTCTGAATTTCGATAGTATAACTTTTGTTAATGGACTTTGGGAAGTGTTAGCACGCTTATAACGAGAGTAAATACGTGAAGTTAATGCGACTCTCGCGCTGTTACCAAATTTAAACTTCACTACGATATTGATCGATAATAAATCAATGTTCTAATACACTATCTACTCGTTTTTACGAAGCTATATTAATGCAGTAATAATTAAATTTTCATCTAAATTTAATTAATAACAGGCGTGGCATTTCGCTCATACGAGAGCACTAACGTTCATCAGCCGAACGAGAACAATGGAGGGTTAAGTGATATGGACAAACGAACCTACATCCCCGCGATAATATTTTACGAGGCAATTATTAATTTTCGTTTCGCTTTCATTGAAGTGACAAATTCGATCCATCGATCTGAGATCTTGCGATCCACTCGACGATATTGCGGAAGAAGGTAATCTCACGATATCCTTGTTGACAGAAGGGGTCCACAAAGGACTTCCGGTTCGATTTGCATAATAACATGGCATCCGAGTGGTCGGTCACGGAGATCCACCCTTTTCTCTACGCGGGACATCGTCGATCACTTCGACGTGTCGTCAACTGCATCTCCATGGTATCTTCCCGAGGACCTGCCTCCTCCATGAACTTCCCCCTAATCGATTTCCAACGCCGTCTCCTTGAGGTGGCGCTCTATTTATCGCGCTTCTCTCGCTTCTCAGATTTTCTTCGAGCCGAATCAAAAGGACCATTAGGAGGACAAGATTTACTTTGCTTCCGCCATGCTATGTCGTGTGAGAAATCGCGTGATGAAAAGGAAGGTGACGCGGGATTTCTTTTTGCATTCCGTTCCACGATTACGGGAATTAATATAACGGAAAAATTTTTCTCGACAGAAATCTACATTTAGTTCGCGTTACACGAACAAAATAGTTCTTAGATTACATTTTATAACTAGTCGAATTATTCGTATCTTTTGTGGTCACATTCATGTGTGTGTGTGTGTGTTAATGTGAGTGAGCAGGTTAATGTGTGTTAGTATGCGTTAATGTATGGATGTAAAATGACAATGTATAACCAATTGATTATTATCTTGAAAATTTTATTAGCGATATAAATGTATATAGAACATAGAATAGAAGTGGTTTCCGTTCAATTAGTATGGTGTGTGGTAGAATGTGGGAGAACCGAGATTGCAATCACTCACGCTGATCTTTACGACAATCTGTAACGTATGAGATTTATGAGGCAAGAACCGGTCTGCTGGTAGCTCTGCGCATTTGTTCAAATCAATTAAAGTATATAATTACTCGCGGGGTTATTATTATAATCTGCGATTGCGGTAACGGATTGCGGAGCAAGATCCTCGCGTTACTTTCATCCACCTGCGCGCTGCTCACGACGTTTGACGGAAACGTCGGGTTCAACGCGCGCGCGAAGTCTAGTTTCAATCGTGGGACGCGAACCCGGCGAAATACAGAATACAGAATACAGTGTAGGGCGTAAAATTGCTTTAATTGATAATTTCATGCGTTTTAGCGATCCAATTCAGATTCACATTGCCGCCCGGCGATGTTGAATTATGAATGCATTACGTAAAATTCATTATTTACCGTAGTCGCTAAATGCGTTAACACAGCAACTTTAAAATTAATATCTTTTCAAATTGAAAATTTTCGGCAGTAATATGACGCGCAACGCAAGGTTACGAGACAGCTGCAGTGTATTTTACCTCCACGCTCTTTCCGGCCGAGATACCGGGGACGCAGGAAACCGCGACTTGCGAATTCTTTGTGGTGTATGTCGCGTATCTATCTTTTATCTACCCTACCTCGTCAAAAAATGCCTTCCTTTCCTCTCGTTTTCTTTTGTTCCCTCTCGGCGATTTGCATCTAACTTACTCACCCAAGCGATATAAGACTCTACCGACCCTCGTTAAAGCCCGTGACATCGGAAAAGCGTCCCCTATCATTTGCTCACGTGAACTACACGGATCTGCCAAATGCTCACACAAAAGATGCCGACGTCTCGACTTTTATGGAATATCTTGATCTTGATTATAAAGTGGAAAATGTTAAAGCCATAATACGTGTTTTAAAAAATATTGCTTTTCGAGAAAGAGAAAACGGCTTTTTTCTCGCGTGAGCACGTACATTTAAACAAACAATAATGGCTAGTCAAAGTGAAAAATATATTGATGAACACATTGCTTGGATTTAAACACGTTAATTCCAGCAGTAATCAGCAATAATCTCGATTTTGCAACAGAGACTTACAGAAAAAAACCGATAAATGACAAAGCTATAAGATTCATTTTGATATTATCATATTACTCTACAAGTTAAAAATATATTAATCGAAATATTTGTATGTTGTCGTAAAAATACAATTCAATAAAATGTTCAAACGTCATCGTTTATTTTCTAAAAATGTGCAATGCGTTTGCATAAATCTATAGAAATAATTTAACCATTCTATTTTGGCAGAATGTTTGCTAATTTGCGTATGTTACTTATGTGACAGATCTTATTATAGAATGTTGAAGCGTAAATGAAACACCAGCGTCACTGACTACCCCATTAACTATCTAAGATTAGCGGCTGGTCTGGAGATAGAAATTATTACTGGAGCGGCTAAACTTAATGATATACTCCTCTAAATTCGAACCGGTATGACGCGTACGTCGTCATGTCACATTGAAATTTGATACATATATTGTATCGGCAGACGTTATCGAGCGCAGTCGGAAATTTAAGAAATAATAAAGTGACATAAAGTAAATAGACATAAAGATATATATTAATAAAATTAAACGATTCTATACAATGTTCTGTAGCAATAGAAAATTATCTTTTGAGGAAGCTGCTGCGTTAAAATCATAAAAAAATGTAAGATGAAATTTACATTTAGAGGAATAATTTATGGCGCAAATGTTCTTGGGAAAGAGAGATATCAGTTTCCGTAAGTAAAAAATGTAAATATGTACTGCGGTTTGCGATTATCAGTTTGATTTCGTGTTACGCCACCACAGTATTACTGCACACATTGTGTCATGTACGACCCTGGCTCGACTTTCCTACTTTACAATCGAGTTACATATCGTTCATGCATGCAGTGGTCGATCAAATTATAGCTCTCGCATTGTCATTTGATTTGAAATTATTATCGCAAAACTTCTAGCAGTTCTCGCAAATTTGTGTTAAGCACGCATTGCCCATATTTGAAGAATAATGAAACAGTTTTGACAAAATTAGAGATTAATCTATATTGCGTTAATCATAAACAATTTGTATAACAATTGTTAAACAATATTTTATTATTGAATTGTATCATATTCTATTTTCAGTGAATTTTTATAGAAATGCATAATGTGTGTGTGTGTGTGTGTGTATATTCAGTATTTTTATATTGAAGATATTGGCGTATCTCTAATTTTCAATGACTATATAGGCAACACATTTTCAAAGCTAAGTGACCGACAGTTGGGATGACAGTTGGGAATGAAACAAATATTCTATCTTTACAATTTCCAAATGCATATCTCGTAGCTGACGCTCACTCGCGGGATTAATTGAATTTGCATTGAAAGATGTCGTATGTTCGCGATTTTGTTTCTAGTGGACAAATTTGATCCATATCATTAAAAAATGAAAAGCACACTGACCTTGAGCAATTTCCGGAAGTACGGGCTGCATGCCGAGAGAACGACCTTGTGCGCGGTGAAGGTATTACCGTCGCAGGCAAGCGTGACATCGATGAAGTCTTCCTCGTCCCTCAGATTCCGGAATGTGCTCAGAATACTCGAATGGAAGTCGTTCCACCTGAGTGAGTACTGCTGCTCGCCGCTCGACGATGAAGAGGCCGCCATGGCGTCCGTCCCCTCGGGACCCACGGCCGAGGGCACCAGAGGTGCTATCGTGCTCACTCTGGCACTCCACGAGAACACCCTCTCACTTCACTTCGTCTCCTCACCCTTTCACTCGGTTTCACGTTCCGCTCCTCGAAGACTCCGAACGCAACCTTGGATTCGTGCGCGACGAGCGGTCAAATGTCAAAACGTTAGGCTTTTAGTGGGCGAACTCGATAATAACACCCGACGCGCGCTTCAAACTGGGCTCCTCGGTGCGATGTTGCTGAAGATGCGGCGATGTGAACGGCCGATTGGCCGATTATTTGTTCTACACGCCGTTATCTTTGTACTCGGGAAATTTATCGATGTTCTCTCGATATCCAAGACAAACTGATTTTTTTTAGATTGACGGTAGCTGCTAAACGGATTATCCGAAGTGATTGGCAAAATGAAAGTCCCTTGTCAGATGTAAGGGATCACTGCGTTGGTACACTACGTCGGTCGATTCCATAGTAATTATGTCATGACAGGAAGGTACTTAAATGCGGGATACCTGAAAACGTTGAACCCCCCCCCCCCAA